CGATGATCTGAGTGAATTGATGGGTTGATGGCTCCGATCATCCAGATTGAAGAACAGCGGAATGCAAAGGCTTTAGATCCCAACACATGTTTTCCATTTTCGAGCTAGACGAACCGGATTCTAGCATCGAAAACACATTTTCGGAATTATTAACGTAGACCCACGGGAAAAAAGTGAGGAAACAACGCCTGCACTTAGCACCAACCCCAATGACGAGAAGTACTTGAACTATAAAATGAAAAAAATAGTACATAGTGCGGCCTCTGGAGTATATTTGACGCATTGTACATACAAGCCTAGTTTTTAGAATACGGCGAGGGTAAATATATATAATTATGGGACGACATCTTTCAATTGTGCCTTACATGATGCAGCTCTAGACTGCATTATACCGAATTTTACAATCCTCGCAGTATTACCATGGAGGAGCGCCAAAAACCAAAAAGAATATCACCCGCACCCCTAACCCTCAGCACTCTGGAGTCTGGCGCGAGACTAAGATTCGGAGCGGAGAAATCTACAATTCCATCAGAACCAAACCTTTAATTGCGGCTATTGTGGTATTTCACCCATAGAACATCGTCGTTGATATGCTGGTGTGGGATTATAGTTCGTTGCACAGCTGCTTGCTACATAGCTCGAGGCTAAGATGGTGAGTGATTTCTCATGACGCATCAACGAATTAGAGCCAGGACCGCTATGTACTATATATCTGCCAACGACCGTAGCTGTCTGAGGAATTAAAAGGGAAGTTCGAGCCAGGTTAAATTGGCTTGTCAAGACATGTGGTCAGGCACCTTGGGGCTTAGGCCATCTCGGCTCCATGGAATATTCTATAGACGTACAAATTTCAGGGAGTATTCGAGGGTTGTGAAGGTTACTAGCCTTACCCGCGCCGGTTTCAGAGCAAATACTCTTGGTCTCAGGAGAAGTTTGATAAACAGTTTTGAGTTTACTAGTTACACAACGTAGATAGATCGATATCTGATCTAGAAATGTTTATAATATTATTCTACTCGTAAACATTTGAAATCTTATCGCACGATAATGCACCATGACGTTTTACCCATGTCATCATAGGGAAGCACTTATTACTAATCATGGTTATCCGAATATGGTTAGAGCAATACTAAACCAAGGCTACTTTCTAGCATTCTGGAGAATCCGCAGGAAGCTTCGAGTGCCTTGGCGATCATGCTTGTAGAATGTGGAGGGCTCGAGGTCTCCCCACTTCACGAGCCGTGAATTCAAAGTTAACCACACCGCACATCCCTAGCTACCAAACATTTATAAATCTACCCTCCCCCTCTCTGTTCCCTTCATACTTCGCTGTTTGTCTCATCACACACTGCTTGTAACAACTTCGAAATCTGGGAAATTTCAGCTCAAAGCTACGATTTATCTATAAACTCAAAAGTAATCAGAGAAAACAATGGCTGGAAGTGTCCAGTTAACTGACAAAGCCCAAAAGGCTCTTTCCGATGCCCATGAGTGCGCAACACAATATGGTCACCCACAGGTAAGAAATACAATTTCCCCCATGATCCAAGTTACGGTGGAAGCTTTTCTAACCCTTTTGTAGATTACACCAATCCATCTTGCATTCGCCCTCCTTGCAGGACCAACAGTAGATGAAAATGCTGCCCCTTTAGGCCCTGCCCCATCAGCATCTCCTTCATTATTCAAACAAGTCATCGAGAAAGCAAATGGCGACCTTCAGACACTTGAGCGAGGCATCAAAAAGGCGCTCGTTCGTATGCCATCGCAAGACCCCCCGCCAGACCATATCAGCCCCTCGCCATCCTTCAGTAAAGTGTTGAGGGATGCACAGAAGCTCCAAAAGATTCAACGAGACTCTTATGTAGCGCAAGATCACCTGATCATGGCTCTTGGCCAGGATAGTACGATCCTTAAGCTGCTGAACGAGGCGGGGATCCCCAAGGTCGATTTGCTTGACAACGCCGTAAACGGGCTGCGGGGTACAAGGAGGGTGGATAGTCAGAACGAGGAGGCTATCGAGAGCGAGAGTTTGAATAAGTTCTGTATCGACCTGACACAGAAGGCGCGGGAGGGAAAACTTGACCCTGTTATTGGAAGAGAGCAAGAAATCCTTAGAGTTGTGAGGATTTTGTCAAGGAGGACTAAGAATAATCCGGTGTTGATTGGAGAGCCGGGTGTGGGTAAAACTAGTGTAGTGGAGGGTTTAGCAACGAGGATAGTTAACGCTGATGTCCCGGCTAACTTGGCAAAGTGAGTTGCATGCACCCCCACATACAATCATTGTCACCTATACTGACTATGGTTATAGCTGCAAACTTTTGTCCCTCGACGTGGGAGCCCTCGTGGCAGGTACAAAGTACCGCGGTGAATTTGAAGACCGAATGAAGTCAGTCTTGAAAGAGATTGAGGACTCACATCAGATGATTGTTCTTTTTATCGACGAGATCCATCTCCTCATGGGTGCAGGTTCTTCAGGAGAGGGGGGAATGGACGCTGCAAATCTCTTGAAGCCAGCACTTGCCCGAGGACAGCTCCACTGTATCGGTGCTACAACCCTCGCCGAGTACCGCAAATATATCGAAAAAGATGCCGCCTTCGAACGACGATTCCAACAAGTCCTTACACCGGAGCCGAGCGTACCAGAGACCATTTCAATTCTCCGTGGTCTCAAGGAGCGATACGAAGTCCACCACGGTGTCACTATCTCTGACGGTGCCATCGTTGCTGCTGCAACCCTTGCTAGTCGATACCTTACTGCCCGACGCCTTCCTGACAGTGCAATTGACCTGATCGATGAAGCTGCGTCTGCAGTCCGAGTCACCAGGGAAAGCGCACCGGAGATTGTTGACACTCTAGAGCGGAAGCATCGCCAGCTCTTGATTGAGATCCACGCCCTAGAGCGCGAGAAAGACGAGGCTTCAAAAGCTCGTCTTACGGCCGCTAAGCAAGAAGCCGCAAACGTTATGGAGGAACTTCAGCCCCTTCGCGAGAAATACGAAGCCGAGAAACGCCGTAGCAACGAGCTCCAGGAAGCCAAGAAGAAGCTCGATGCTCTTACCGCCAAACTTGAGCAGGCCGAGCGTATCAATGATTACGCCACAGCATCCGATCTCACATACTATGCTATTCCAGAACTCCAGAAATATATCGCCAAGTTGGAGTCAGCGAAAGCTCAATCAGAATTGGACGCACAGATCAACGCGGCCAATGGTGGTGAGAGTAATCCTCTCATGACTGATCTCGTTGGACCAGAACAAATCAATGAGATCGTGGCTCGCATGACGGGCATCCCAGTGACGAGGTTAAAAACAACAGAGAAGGAGAAATTGTTGAACATGGAGAAATATTTGACGAAGCAAGTTATTGGGCAGAAGGAGGCAGTCAAAGCAGTTGCCAACGCTATCCGGCTCAGTAGGTCAGGTCTCAGCAATCCTAACCAACCGATCGCCTCTTTCCTGTTCTGTGGGCCATCCGGTACGGGTAAGACGCTGCTTACGAAGACTCTTGCTGAGTTCTTGTTCGATGATCCTAAGTCAATGATCAGATTCGACATGTCTGAGTACATGGAGAAGCACTCCGTATCCCGTCTTATTGGTGCCCCGCCAGGATATGTCGGCCACGACGCCGGTGGCCAACTGACTGAGGCTCTTCGTCGTCGTCCGTTCTCAATCCTTCTATTCGACGAGGTAGAGAAAGCCGCCAAGGAAGTCCTTACAGTTCTGCTCCAACTTCTTGATGATGGACGTATCACCGACTCTACAGGCAGAGTTGTGGATGGTAAGAACACAGTAATTATCTTGACCAGTAACTTGGGGAGTCAGTACATCACCTCCAAGTCAAGTTCTACAGACGGTAGAATCGATCCAGGTACCAGGGAGCTCGTAATGGAGTCAATACGCCAACACTTCCTTCCTGAGTTCCTGAATCGTATCTCTAGCGTAGTCATTTTCAACCGACTCGCGAAGAAGGAGATTCGCCGCATTGTGGATCTCAGGCTTGCTGACATCCAAAAGCGGCTCGCATCCAACAACCGCAATGTCACGCTCCAGGTCGACGAAGCTGCCAAAGATTTCCTGGGAGAAGCAGGCTATAGTCCAGCATATGGTGCAAGACCACTTAATCGGGTCATAGAGAAAGAGGTGTTGAACAAGCTAGCGGTGTTATTATTGAGAGGTGCGATTAGAGATGGAGAGACGGCAAGGATATGTTTGGATCGTCACAAAAGGATACAGGTGTTGCCGAACCATGAGAGTGACGTGGAAGAAGATGAGGATATGGTGGAGTACGAAGAAATAGAATCAGGAAACGATGGTGGGGATATGGAGGTTGAAGAGTTGTATGACTAAATATGTTTCTAAAAGTGCTTATTAGGGATGAGTGATATCTTATGACGCAAATGATTTTTTTTTTAGCGACATTGTTCTTTGCTTTTATAAAAATTTCTTTACTTTTTCTTTAGTTTTTCTATATTAATTTAGCTCGAAACTCTTGGGGTAATACTGTTTTTTATACCCTTTTGGCTATTCTGTACTAGTTTGTTGCCATAGTGCATAGCCTTTATCAACCTGAGTACAGTACTTAGGAACGAATTTACGATTTTCAATTAAATTTAGTTTGTTTATACTATCAAAATTGGTTCCAGGTGAAAAGTACATTTAAGCCCTAGAACATGAGTCGATCGATACAAGTCGATGCGATTAGAAAAAAAAAAGCCTGAGTGAAAAATAGGCAACTTCTCTAGATCGATAAATATAATCCATTCAATATGCATAGCACACATCGCCTTATTCAATGAGAATCATGAGACAAATGTAAAAGACAGATTTCCCGCCAGCAAATAAGAAATTAAATATGTAAGCTTTAAAACCGAATAAAAATATTTCCAGGCTCGATCAACCTAGAAATAGAGGACGAAAACCCCAGTTCCCCAAATATTTTATAAATAAATAAACACCACCCAAACTTCTCAAATCACAATTCCATAATTATATAACTCCTAACTATCTTGCCTGTCCATAATTTGATGTGTCAGGGTCGTTCAGCTGCATATGCATGATTGCCTCTGTTGGATACTGATCGTAGTCGCTATGCGGCCTGTCTGTTCCCTCAGCCCCAACAACCATTAATGGCCTTAAACCCCCCTCATTTGTAGACCCATACGAGATCGACGGGCGTTTTCTACTTTTTGGTGGCGGCGTCGGCTCAGCTGTGCTTGTTGCTATCCCGTATCCGCTGTTGTCCTCTGTCCACTGTTGATGATGCTCACTTCGACCTTCATCTGGAGTGGGCGAGTGGTTACCATAATGGGTGGGCAACTCAACGGGCGAGTTTAACTCATTGTCTGCTAACTCAACGGGGAGATTGATATTTAATTGCGGTGCTTTTTCGTTCATTATTGTTGATGTTCGATCTAATACGGTTGATGGTCGACCGCCCATATTGTCTGAATGGTCATGGTGATCCACAGAGCGATCCGTATCTCGAATGCCGAACTGTGCAATTGTACGCCTTTGAAGAAAAATAAAATTAGTACATCGTCTGGACAAGAAGGTGGATATGGTAAAAGACATTTTACGCTGAACCCATGAAGCCAATATCTTCCCCCGTTGCTTTTCTCCAAGTCTTGACCTTGGGAAGTCACCCTTACCCACAAAGGCCACAATATCAACAACTAACTGGTGTTGGTCAAGTATCGCGTTGACAATGACTGGTACCATGGATGCTAGATACGATTTGACCTTCACTTCAACCAACACTACTACGAGGCCGCCTGCTTGGAATACCGCACTTCCGGTGGAGACGATGTTTCTATGACATCTCTCAACTGAATACTCGATATCCACCGGGAAATGACTTAGCCCGTTAACTTCGAAAGTTTCTCCAATTGCACCAAGCACAAAAAGAATTTGCATTTCGACCTGCGCGCCGCCCGGCCCGATGGGCCGTGAAACAGTGTGTAAGAACCCGAGATCTCCGGTACGCACATATGTTATTCTCGGATCACCGTCTGCAGTTTTTCCATTGAATCGCTCAACGTCGAACGGATCATTAGATCCGTAGAAGGTCTTAACACATGCTTCAGATTCGACCCAGATTTCACCATATTCACCAGTATGGCAAAGTAGAGATGTCTCTGGGTTGACAATAGCAACCTGTGTCGATACCGGGACCATACCGGAGTCCTGCACGAGGAGAGCATTTGGGCATGTATCCGCATCGACAGGGTATACCAAGCCCCTTCTAAGTGCTTTAGGATCAAGCCAAAGCTCAATAGGTTCAATACACATGTATGATCGTGAAGCAATCATAGGGTTGAGAACATGACTGTATATGGTGTTGATAGCCGTTCTATCCAGCCCAGCACCGGCGAAGTGCAACCGAACTCTCTGGACTGTGCCTATAGTCAGGCCGTGTCCGCGTAAATTAGAATAAGATAATGGTCAACTCACATATATCGGATCTAGGTCTCCCTTCACAAGCGATCATCATATTTTTCAATTCATGCATTGTAAAACCTTTTGCCGGCATGTTCAAGATCGCATGGTCCAACATTTGCGGCGTCGCATAAGTATCCTTGATCTTGTATCTCGATAAGGTTAAGAAAAGGCTGTGTGGGTTCTGGGCAAAATCAATTGGTGAGACTAAGTACGTCGGTGCACCTGTATCACAAGGGCAAGATTAGTAAGTCAATGATATATGTCCGAGTGCCGCCCCATGATTGGGATGCGTAGGCCCCCGATGTACCTGGGGAGTGAACGTACCAACAAAAACACCCATAAGCAAACTATACACAAAGCCCACTCCGCTGATACTTCTCACACACCCCACAACTGGCCTACTACTTGTCATTTGACATGTCTCCTTCATAACTTTACATATCCCCATTATCGTATCATGTCCTAACCCAACTGCTATTCTTCGTTGATCTGGTGTCCAGTATGTCCACACCAACGCTAAGAATCCCGGTTGCACCCACGCCGGTTTCATCGTGAATCCAAGGTCTCGGCATCCAGAATTTGACTTTGGCGGCTTGGCAGTATTGTGAATTGGAGGAATTGCAGCCTTCAAGACCGCGGCAGTCTGTTTCATGTGCGTACTCACTGGTTTTGATTTGAGAAGATGGTCGACCTCTGCGTTGACGAGGATGGCCTTAACATCAAAATCCTTAATCATGTGTAGGAGCGCTGGGACGTCCTCGGGCAGCCGATTCTGATCTAGAGGCGCGAGTGGAACTGCAACGACACCAAGACAGAAACAAGCATGGATCGCATACACGAAGTCTTCGCTGTGGGTGTAGATGAGGATTACATGGTCACCGCTCTTGATCTTCCATTTATTCTTCATCATGCTCGCCACAGCGGCGATCTTCGTATCTAGTTTTTTCCAAGTAACGCCTTTACCTTCCTTACCGCGAGTATCAATTGTGCAATAAGAGAGCTCTTCAGATTGACGAGCTACACGCCATTGAAGTAGGTCGACAATTGATGAAAAGTTTGTGAGTGGGGTTGATGTTCGGTCGTCGATCACGACCTCACGGTAATCAACCCCGGAATACTGCTTTTCTTGCAGCATGAGAATCTCTTGACGAGCTTGAGTTGCAAGTGGGGACCAGATACCACCACTAGGATCGATTCCGATGGGAAGATTGAGGACCGCTCTGTGGACGCCGAATTTTACGTGCACACAAGGAAGAGTGCCAGCGCCGAATTCTTTGTTGCACAGTATATTCCCAATCTCTCTTCGACCATTCTTTAGAACTCTGGGTAGAGTATTGGGTGCAGTGATCATAACACAGTATACCCGAAGATGATGCTCCTCAAGGAGTACATCCATGCACCGCTCACTTAGCTGATCCAGCAACGCGATATCCAACTGTTTTGCCACCCCACCCGCTGCCGTTGGTGCCGTCGACGCGGCCTGACTTTCCAATAAAATGATTGGAAGATGTTCGTCGTTCACAAACACATCAAACGCCGAACTATTCCACCACAATCAGTCTGTTGAACCCTACCTAGCCCACTCGTCGGAGAAGAGGAGAAGCAGAAACAAACCAATCAAAAATCTTTGGGATATTCTTCATTATGGAAGCAACCAAATGCTGGACAAAAAAGCATCTAAACTCTTCCCTTCCCTCTGCACCTTCCTCCACCCATTCTACCTTTTGTCTTAGCCTATCCTCGTATAATCCTAGAACAAATATTTTGCCCTCGATCACACACCCCAACAAACCTGTTCGTAGAAATTCTAGATCAAGTGATACAGGGTTTGGATTGCCCTCTTCAAATTTGTAAGGACGCGCATGAAAGATGGATTCTGTCTGCTTCGGTAGTGCCCAAAAACCTCCTGATAAACTGGGCGAGTCAACCCAGATTTCACCGACTACATTCGGAGAGCAGAGGAGAAATGTTTCTGGATCTACAACAGCGAGGGTAGCATCGGGAATAGGATACCCAAATGTTCCCACTCGAACTGTTCCTGGATCGCCTGCCCTCTTTTGTGCTTCCTCGCCAATTGCGAGGACTATGACATCATTCGTCTTCAACGCCTCCTTGTCCAGCAGAACTTCCGTGAGCTCAGTAACCTTTTTTCCCGTTTCTCTCGCAATACCGCCAGATAACAAAGAGGAGTATCCATTAATCCCTACCCCAGGGCGTTCCTCTTCTTCGCCTCCAGAAGAATCTTCGTCTTCATGCTCTTCAGGCCGTGAAAGAGCGCAACCCATGCGTTCCTCGCCACCTAGCCAATCACGCATAGAGATGACCATACCACCATGCTCAGGTAGACAGAGCATTGGCGCAACAACATCCCTTGCACGAGTGTTCTTCAGCGGCCGCAACCAACGATCCGCAAGGATCTCGTGGAACTCAGCGTCGACAGTAAGAGCGTCGATGAGCATGAATCTAATTGTTGAAAAATCTACTGTAAGCTTCTTTTGATAATTACGAGTGACCATGGGCTCGTTTTGATAGTTGTAGGCCACGATTTTCAACGCCGGATAGTCTGCTAGGCAAAGGGTAGCCTTATATCGGGTTATAACATTTGCATAGAGACCTGATGTGGTAGCAGTTGCCTGTGACAGCCAGACTGTTGTTTGCCCACCATACACAGCGAGAAGAACACCAAAGATCATACCAATTCCTTGACGGGGATCAAGGTAAGACACTAGGGTTTCACCCATAGCTCTTCCGGACATAGGAAGCCCGGTTTTGTCGCGAAGGGAGGGGTGGAAGGTATCTTTACTGTTATCGGCAGGAACAGTAGATATAATCGCTGAAAGACACCCCATTTGATGCATTATGGTTCGATGAGACATTACAACACCACGGAGGTCACCAGTGGGAGAGCGGGAAAAATCGATGTAAGCCAAATCGGGGACTTGGAGGGGCGGAACATCTTCTTTGCGTTTAGGGTGGAATGAACCAAACTCGTTGGTTTTCCACCATTCCACTCCACGAGGCCAGGAGAGCTTTTGGGTTGTTAGATCTCGCTGAAAGACCTTTAAATTGTTGTCCGTTGTAAGGGCGAGATGGGCTTGTGTGCTGGTGAGAATGTGGTTGAGCTTTTGATACTCTTCTGGATTATTGATTGGCACAGCCACTACTCCAGCAATAAAACAACCCAGGAGGGCAACAGCAAACTCGATCACTTCGACATCACGATATACCAATGCTACCCGATCTCCACGGTAAAGATTTGATTTATCGCGGATTACTTGTGCGACCTTTTCGGCACGGGAGGCAAGCTTTTCCCAAGAGATTGCGGCCATTTCCTTTCCTTTTGTGTCGAGTACTATGTACGCGTGCTGCTTTGGGTTTGTCTTGGAACGATGGCGGAGTACGGCAGCAAGGTTATCGAATCCTGACATTGGTATATTGGGATTGTGAGGATCGTGTACGGCAAATGGAACATCTCGAGGTTCAAGCGGGAGCATATAGTTTACTGCGCCTGGTGGGGGGAGATCGGCAGAAGAAAGCATGGGTGGTGGTATTGTAACAGACGGCGAGAATGGCGGCCCCATTCCAGGCTCTCCGCTGTACCTGTTCATCATATTCTGTGTATATCCTTGTTCGGGCGCTCCACCTGCATAACCCTGTGCCGTGAAGTCGGAGAAATATCCTGCCATTGTGTTTTCCCGAGGAGAGGCCCCACCACCAACATTGCCGCCTAATGGATAGTCCGCAGGAAGATTGTTGTAGTCATATTGCAACTGTTGTTGCTGCGGGTAGCCGTAGCTATCTCGCTGACTCGAAATTCCATTTCCAGAGTTATCTGAAGGATTCCGGACGTGCATTCCTGGCAGCTGAAGAGAGATTGAATTGTCTCGGGAGTGGGGTAATACTTGAGGAACCGTAGATACAGAGCTGTTGGAGCCTCCAGGGTTTCGGAGATGTTGAGGTGCTAGCGGATGAATATAGCCTTGCCGTTGCCCTCCATCACCACCGCCGGCACCATTTTCCCAACCCTGCGTTGCCGATAATAGTGTTGATGCTCTGCTCATATTGCTGGAATAGTGCCCACTCATCGATGTAGGCGTTATAGGGTTATGAGTTGACTCGGGCCGCATCGACATGGTCCTCGGTGAATGGGGCGAGTTGGAGTCATTCCGTGAGAAGGGCGATTGGGAGCTTGTACGGGCTTGAAAGGAGGAGTGTCTGTGGCTTGTTGATCCGGGGGATTCGAGAGGCAAGTTGTATTGCGCGAGGAGTAGGGTTCGGCGCTTTTCATATCCCTTCTGGGTAATGTCCCCTTCTTCTAGCTCCGAGTCGAGAGCCGCGAGGCGTGCTTGGAGCTCGGGGTCGTCCATGGTGATGAAATAGTACGGGTTGATGTACTAGATCCCCTAGCAGTATTAATAGAGACGGAGAGTCTGTGTTGCTCTGTGTAGATTAATAATCCTACGGGTGAAGAGTAAATATGATGATCAGTAGTGAGGGGGTGGGGGTGGGGGTGGGTAAAAAGAGAGGGTATTTACAACAGTATATGTAGAAATGAGGGAGATAAGCAATAGAATCGATGGACAATGCACAGCTGAGTAAAACGACGGTCTGGGCTTTGAGCCGCGGTTGAGATTTGGATGTGGAGATGACGGTAATGGTGGTTGAGACGAATTATAGCAGGTATGAACCTATGAGCGCCTTCGGTGGTGTCCAGATGAGTTCTCGATACCTTGGGTACGCGGTGGTGATGTTTAATCGTGTCCTTATTGTAACCTCCTCTCCTGGTGTTGTAGCCGGATCTTCACTTCGTTCTGGACTTTGTGGAGCTTTTGGTTTCTTGTATGCGGAGCAACGGTACGTATGTACCATGTACAGTATGCAGGGATAGCGGGAACTTCGTCTCGTCTTGTAGGATTGCTTGTTAAAGCCTCCTCCCACAACACCAACCAAAGAAAGATGGCCTAGTGACTAATTATAATTTGAGGGGTGACTTCCTTCTTGGGGTGTGAGGTGTTCTGCCTGCAACATATTCACTCTCCCCGCACAACGAGGCCCTGGCTGCGATTTCCAAGATTTTATGGAGATCATCGGTTCTCGGATAGAGAAGATCTTCTTCCCTCCGACATAGAGTCCATCATTTGAGCTTTAACCTCCGCGACGCATACTGAAGGCGCAGATATGCACCCAAAGTACATGTACGAGTATATGTACTCTAGAGTACCTACTCTACTTTGTTTCCCTATCCTCTTTCCTGCTAAGTACCTACAGTACCAATCCCGAATAACCTTGCCGGGAAATGTGCACCTGGGAAGAATAGGACCAGTTTAAAATCGCGCTGGCCATGCAGGAGGATCATGGTTCTGGGGTCTTCTGGAGTTCTTCACCCCAAGTATTGTCTTGATGCGGCTCTATTGGACACAGAGTGTCACTCGGGCGTAGTTAATCCCTGTCGTCCAAAGCTTCTGCCAGGGTTTCGAGATGGGTTAATGTTGCTTGTATTCCGCTAGGTTGAGATGATAAATACCGTAGTCGAGTCGCGTGTAGATGTTTTTAGCTGTAACTACATATAGATCTACCTGTATGTACATGTATGTATTGGATCTACCGGTGGATTGTACCCGCGACAGTCCTGAAGTACCCGAATATGCAGCTGCAAGTTTTTGGTGTGTTTTTGACTTCTACTCCAATGGAAATTGCAGATTAGGACGTGCATTTTCGGGTACTTGTTACCTGCTGCAAGTATATAACTCATGTACTGTCGTTCACGGACACTGGGTGTTGACGGTGACAAATAATTGAAGGCAAAACTGGGCTTGGCTGTCTCTCTTTTGGCTTGTCCGTCAATACCAAGTGTCCGTCAATACAGGCCCGTGAACGACAGTAGAAGTAGCCCGGGTTCTGAGTAGATGTGGTACAAAAATTTCGGGTATGTACGTCATTTTACCTCTATTGTCTTTCATTTCGTTTTCATATGATCATAGCTAAAATATTTCGTTTTCACTTGCTTCCCCTCAGGTTTTATGTGGGGGTGTACTTAGGGAACTGGGCTATCTCTAGGTTCTGGCTTACCCTGACACAACCTCCGGTTCAAGTTTGAATCACAAAGCCTCACTCGCTTGAGACAACCAATGAACACATACATGCTACGCCTGGCATATATGGCTTGATCCAACTCTGCAGTGGGCCATCACCATTCAGTCCCATCCACCGCACGTCTGCTAAGTAACTGCACCACTCTATCTTAACAACTATAAGGGACCTTTCACCATCTGGATACGCGCTATAATGAGTTTTTGATGTATACACAACCATAGGTGAAGTCAAAAGCGGTTATAATGTGCGATCATTTTTGGACATTGTACTCTTTCAGGGTTCTTTCTTCTGAATTCGAAGATATATGTATATATGCCCCACTACTTGTCTGATTTTTTAATTCTGTCTGACGGTCTTGTTTGCTCCCGATCGAGGTTCCCGACGGCGTACCCTTTAGACTAGCTACAGTAACTTTACAAGGCTCTACTTTATGATTGTTTTGGGCGTCGTCAAACCCAACCCGGAGTAAAATAGTCGATCAGACTACAGTCGGATCGCCCTATAAGGGTACAAAAATGGCGCGAAGTAGTACTCTTATAGTGAAGGAACCCTTATAAGAGATTGAGGGTTAGGGTTAGGATAACATAGGGGAGTGGAGGGATCGGAGGGGAGGGGAGCGGTGAAACTTTGAATGGCCATCCCACAACGGATAGAGGGGATACAGACTAATAAACAGGTGCAGAGAGTTTAGAAGGTAGAGAAGATTACTCTTTAGTTATACTAAGTAGGTTGACAAGTACGCGCACAGAAGAAAATACTACCTCATCATCACTTCTGCACCTTATTAATCTCTAACCCTACCTTTTCTATAAGGGTATTGCACTGAAAAAAACTTCTCAATTCTTACGGTACCCTTATAGCGGATATTCTATGATTTACCCTTAAGTTTACATATTAAAATAAATAGCCCGCCGACCTGTACCCCTATAAGGCGAGAACCCTTATAGGGCGATCCGACTGTGGCGCACCTTTTTCAGGGATAGAGCATGAAGGGCTGAACAGCGAGGTGAGACCAATAACAAAAGATAATAAGCTTTCATTAAGTGCAATTTTTTGACGCAAATTTTCATCTCAATTTCGGAACAAAACTGACATCCAGCATCACGATATGATATCGGGTGTAATTTAACAATCATCCTGCAGCGGTTGAATTTGGCACACCGGTCACCCCGACTCACATGACTTCGGCCTGTCTAACCTTTGGCGGTTAAAGATAACGACAAAAACGGACGGAAACCCGCACCGGTTCTAAAATTGGAAATGTGAATGAACCTTTCCCAGTATCTCATTTCTGGGATCGTGGTGAGGTATCGCTGAAAGGTTGAACTACTGCAGAATTCCCGAGCATAAGTTAAAAGGTGTACTTGGGTATTTTAGAAGATCGTGCGAGTTAAAATGACAATATCCATTGTCACAGAAACTCTATACATAGTTTACAGGGTCAACCCACAGAGCGAAACAGCCAAGTACAGTTAGTTTTCATAATCACAGGGAATTTGGATCAGGAAGGGAGCTTGTGGATATTTTCAATTTTTCTTGGCCTAGAAAGCGGCGGTCAGTTTACGGATTTTGCGACACAGCACTTTGTTCTGTAAAGCCGTGCATAGCTTCACAGCCTATCACTCGGACTAGAGAACAAGTGTGCTGAGATATTTTTTTTTTGTTTAATTCATTAATTGCATGCAAACCGTGGTTTATGGCAATAGTGTGCTGATATATGGCTTTCGAGTCTAGGGCAATATTATCTCACTAGTATGGGCCATGTCCGACGCATTTAACATATTAGAATCAACTATATGGGCATATAATGGGAAATCATACTTAATCAGTAAAAGCATTTTTGTCCTAGAATTTTCCGATAACACTACATGTAGTTTCTAAACTTTGATTTCTAGGGGATTGCATGTAGAGTATATCTGATGTGTTTCAACTCACGAGATGGAAACATTAAGTTGTTCATACAAAGCTAGCAGACAGAAAATATAATATACAGAAAATGACCTATACATCGTACAATCCTAGCTATCATCCTCCTCCGTAGAAAAATTTGATAGCATCCCTAATGCTACATGATGTACCGAACCAAGACCAAGAGCTACCTAAGAGAAACATTACGAGCTGCATCAAATCCCAAACAAATACACACCTTCTAAACCCCGGCCCAGTACTAACCCAAAGAAACAACACTTATTCTCCGCCTAAATCGAAAAAAGATATAAAACAACCCTACAAAGGAGACTAAAAAGCTTTCCCCAACAGACGCTCCATATGCGAAACAGACACTATGGCCAACATAAAAAACATGATAGAACAAGAAAGAGTAGGCATAGTTTGTGGGAACATGGAGAAAACGGTGGTCGAGTTGCAATTGCCTAACGCCACCAAGAAAGGGAAAAAAAGAAAGAGAAGAAAAACTAAAATACTAACAAACCGCAGGCTAAAAAGTTGAGGTGTAAAGAAAGAAGCCAGAAGAATACTTGCTTGAGTCACCACCAAGAAAACAAAGACTTGAAGGAAGACAGATGATATTCACAGACAAGATAAAAGTCCTATTGTTCGTGCGCTTAACCAAAATATACCTTATTGGTCGCCGCGATTTCAAATAAAAAGCATGGACGGTTCTCCCGAGGCTCTCCCACTTCGTGCGTTGTGTTATACGCAGCGATTTAGAAATAAAAGGTGCCACCTTGCTCACTGAGCGAGAATGTGCAGCCCAGCATCTGTTCCTTTTCAAGTCTCTCCAGACTTCTCAGAATATTTGCTGCGACATCGACATCATCTTGGAGGGTGTCCTTGACATGCGTAATGACCAAATGAAGTCCCTTAAGAGGCTCGTGTCCCAATATCCCTGCAGATATAGCAGCTGAGGATGGTAGGTGCTGTTTTAATAAGGGTGGAATCTCTTCTGGTGTCCTCTGCCCTACAGCCATGCTGACCGTATCAACTCCGTTATTTCTATTCCCAAGGGATTTCGGCGATAATTGTGGCAAAAGATAGTCCTGATCAAATTCCATGATTTTTGAGGGGTCCGGAGTATTTGTTCCCGACTGTTTAGAACTCTTTGAGACACGACGATTACTGTTCGCATCGCTGTTCCAGATCCCACCTCCATTACTATTTGCTTCCCCAATTGTTGAATTTTCCTGGCTCCATTGGTATTGGTTTGCCTCTCCCTGTCGAAAGCCCTCAAAGTGATTTATGTTCATCGATCTCTTCGGTGTGAGATCCAGGTCACCCATATAGCCTTGGCTCATACGTTTTCTTTTTCGGTGATTACGCCTATCCCTTTCTTCCTGTGCTCTTAATGCTACAACCCTTCCAGCTAGAACCTTCAATTCTTCCAAGAGATGCGGGGGATTGAGATGTCCATATAAAGCTCTATCCGGTTGACAGCAGTCGTAACTGCACTCAATGAAGATGGTGCTCAGGAGCCCTTGATGGAATTTTGTTGCCGCCTGATCCCAGGCAGGGTGATTCCTCGGTGAAAGCGATAGCGAATCTTTGTAGAAAAATACCTAGAATCAGCACCAACATAGACTCTGCGCTACACCAGGAAATGGAACAAACCCGGTTCAACATCCCCCCACATCATGGCCTCCTGCTTGGTTGCCTCGTCTCTAATGAAGAATACTGCTGAATCGTACACGCACATACGCTTGACCGTACCACCTGGACTTCTTTCTGCTCCAGCACTAATGCTTCCTCGATGCGAGTGGGTGTTCATGCAGTGTCCATGCGATATGGGCCATGCTTGGACACTCAATCCTTTGCTAACCTCCACGTATTCTGATGCTGCTACCGGCAGTCGTTGGTACGTGACTAGTCCCACCCCACATCCTTCATCTGAGAGGTTAGGCCAGATAACATCGTTGAAGATATGGGTCTTTATGGCCTCAATTGTCGTAGGTAAAGAAGCTATCCGTTTTGGGCATTTGGTTTGAGTAAAAGATGCTGTGTTAATTACCAAGCCTGATAGATGGTCCAGGTGTGGGTGTGTGATTAAATACGTCGAGACAAGTTCCCTGGTGACATACACCGCATTTGCACGCGGTGTATCAAATGGAAGATCCGCGCCAACGAAGGGAAACGGTCTTTTTGCCGCTCCATTGCTGTCTGAAGTCGACATTGTCGCCGAGCCATCCTCAGTACCTGGAGAATCGGCACTCCATGAGCCATTGTGCTCTTCAAGAATTCGTATAATCCCCGCGAGATGGGTCCCTGCATCTACAGCAAGCACCGAACCTTTGGCCCATGCCGTAGCTGTAGATCTTATCAAATATCCAGAGACGTTGCTCTCGCTCGGGCCTCCCGCTGATCCCTGCAGATACCCGAACCACAAACAATCAGATCCACACTCTAAATTTTTACGGATTTATGGAGGGGGGGAGGGGCGGATAGGCATCTCACTAGCACAATGACCTGGAAAGCGGGAGAACCGTCGTCTTTGCTTGAAACCGCCAGTTTGAAATTTAATTGATATTATTTGGGTTGATTCCTTCTCTTTCTCCTTCTCTTTCACACTTTTCTTTTGAGACCAATTCTGAGAATTCAGTGCCGTTACTGAAACAAGAAGAGAGGAAAGGGAGAGGGAACGAAGGGATTGTGATAATCGTGGTCTGTTTTTTTTTTTTTTTTTTTTTTTTTTTTTTGCTGGCGATAGCGCGTAGAGTCCCGGGGATGCCAGAGAATCTGCTGGTGGTGGTCTCTACTGCGGAAACCCGCAAGAAATGGCTTGTGCGTTGCTAATAGATGGCCTGCAAATGGGAGGCAAGTGTTTGTGATTAACGGAAAAATTATGAGATCCGAGCCACTGCAACTTAGAATTGATGAAGGGAAGGGGGCCAGGTGAAGTGCTTCAAGGAGCGGAGGGAATAGAAAGAGATGCTAAAGGATGGGGGAAGTCTTGTGGCACACTACCCACTTTCACACTCACACACACTCGTTCACACACACACGGTCGGTCACAGGTGAGACTCCAAGGGTCGCAGACAATTGTTTGGTAACTGTGGTACGCCCTGGGGGACCCGTTAGACTCGATAGAGGATGATTGGGTGTGTGTGAATGCTGCAGATTTCTGGGGAAACGATGAGGTATTGTAGTAATATACAGCAACGGGTGGTGCGAGTATGAGCAAGTGTGGGTGGGAAAAGATGGAGGCGTTGTGGGAGACAGAGATGAGATCTTTCCTCCCCTGGTTCCCTGCTTTGCTTTGCTTATTTCACCGGGCCGTCTGTGCTCTGAACTATCTTGAATTTCTATCCCCTTTATTCTCTCTCTCAGTCCTTTCCTCCTCCAGTCCGTTGCACCGCCGAGGGGTGTTTGTCTGCTGTTACTGCTGGCTGTTAAAGTGCTAGAGTAGCAAGTGCTAAAGTGCTAAGGTAGGTGGTACTCGTACTGGTACTGGTACCGTTATGGGATAGCGACGTCGACGTAAAGCACAAGACAACCCGGCCTCCAAGCTTCCTGCACCTAACAGGTTGGTACCACTTTGTGCTACCACTGGACAGATCAGGGGCGAGAAAACAGAATCAATCACACTTGTGGCGATAATATGATGTGCCTAGGAACACAAAGGTGGGTGATAACTCGGCTCCAAGTCCGATTTACCAACAGCCAGATGGAGCAATCGATCAACTTAAGATAACGGCTACCTAAGCGACTGGGGTATCCGGAGCTTTGGAAATTATATGATGGCAGCGGGGGATCCCTTGGATAGGAGAGCTGAATAAGTAGGTGAGGTACCATTCATTGGGATAATTGGGAGCTAAATAGTAGAGCAAGAAAGGAGGTGGGAAGACGTGGAGCTTAAGAAGCTGTGTGAAGCACATGAGCAGTATGAGAGAAAGAAAAATAAAAGCCACTCAAGCACCTAGCTTTTGACCCATCCTGCACACACCAATATGTTGCCCCCGAATATTCAACCCGGGCGTCCTGCCCTTGCGAGCGCGTATAGCACCTTGGGGGCGGCATCGCTAAAATGAATCAATCTGCAGTGTCTACTATAGTTACCATCGATCCTTCAGGTATCGTGCCTCCTTGGACGCACGCTCCACCTCAGCTGGCTGATTCAACGACGTCGTGCCAGCCGGGGAGGGACTGTGTTAGGTCAAAGTCTCGATGCAAATATGCCACCCGTGCTCTTCCCACCGTTTGTTTCTCAATAAGGGAACGGATCATCCGATTAAAAACATTCCAGATGGTTTCAAAGCTATGGTATGGCCCATGCACAAGTTCGGAGGTTTTGGTCAAATTCACAGGGTTGGGACGTAACCTTGCCATGTCACTGACCGTGCGGCCAGGGTCTTATCAAGACCACATCAACCATCACATAGCCATGATCCCAAAAGACATGGGGAATTTGTAAATGCACTCCCCACTTTCAAGTGGGGATTGTTTTGGCAGCTTGGTACAAGCTAAAATCCGAGACCTGGCGCCATGAAACATTTCTGTCGGCGTTCTCTAGCCTAAAATCGGACCTAAGTGCGACAGACAACAAATTCTGGTTGACTGGCTTTCAAACCTAGCAACTCATCTGAATCATCTTCTCAAGACAAAGGGTGCGTCGGGGGTCAAAATCTCTGCAAGACTTCCGAGGTCCCAAGTAATAGGGAGTCTCACTCCAAAGCAATGAGTAATCAATAACCTTCAATATAATTCACCTAAGAGAAAGGGAGAAGAGACGTACTCTGATAGAGATAGATAATCGAAATCTTGATATATTTCTTTTCGAATTCTCAAATATTGGTGTTCTATATATCCTGAATGCTCGTTAGGTTTTATTTTCTCTAGTGCTGTTTTTCGTCTTTATCCCCGGATTTGGCACAGCGAACCAGTTGACGATATTCCATAGCAACGTTGCTCACGGCTCGATCAGTAAGATAGAGTTTTGTAACTTCGATTTGTGGCGTGATAGAATCAGGATTCTCCAACCTACACCAATAGTAATTATTTATTACTTATAGAGTATACTGGTATCTGTCTTAAAGCCTTAGGCGCCGGAAATACATTCAAGGGCGACTACCTCATTCTCGGAAAAACCATGTAATGGGAAAATACAAATCCGTCGACTACTGCTATGTGTAATATTCCAGAATATACGTACGCACATGACCGGTACCTACTTAACTATAGAGGCATTCCTGGTTGGTCAGTTGTTTACTCAAAACCTCTAGGATCCTGGAGTTCACGTGTTTCATTTCTGGGTTGCTCTGCAGTTTGCGTTGTACCGGTTCTTGTACTCAGTGTACTAACTTGGAAAGGGTTCGATGTTTGCGTGACATTCATCTTATTTTCGTAAGCTCAAGGGTCCACTGCCTAGTCTCAACATCCTCAATGATTTGTCCGAGTACGCACATGTACTGTTTGAATACCTGATGTACGGCACGGAGTTTTTTTAGGACCCGAATGTGCTACGTTCAACAATCAAATACTTATACACCAAGCATATGTGGTATTGTTTTAAATAAATCCCGTCTGATACCAACATTGTACCAGTGATCAATATCAAATATCGATAAGCATCCGAACTTTGATATTTTTCTGAAACTGGAGGGTACACAACTAGCAATGCGCCTTGAAGTGATGTGTGGAATCGATCGAGGCATTGTGGTCCCGAAGACGGGCCATGATATAGGCTGTGTTCTATCAATTAACTTCATCAAGATTCCGTATCGAGAACGCGATGCTGAATCGGATGCTATTTGATTTTCAGGAGGGCGGTCTTTGGATATCTCCGGCCCCCCCCTTCCCGTTTGTTTTTCTTCTTCAAGAATCAAAAGTACGCTTTCAAACGTTCAAAGGCCGCCCTCTACCTTAAGTGGTCGCCTTTTCCGTGTCGTTCACTTGACTATATACGTCTCGGGGTCACGCATGTGTTTTTGGCTGGCAATTCACAGGCATCTAGGATCTAGGTAGTGAATGCTTACACAACTGGCCATCTGATTGGATTACAAGTCGACCATATGTAATCTACGGTCATCGCAGGCCTTGCCCTCCCAGCTGCCTCCTAAAGCACCTCGGGTCGTACTGGCTCCCAAACAGGAAGGCTTCTGGAAGTGTGATCGATCTACAGGCTGCAGCTGACAGGCTAGGCGGCGGTGACACAGACCTCATCCGATCTCGTTCCTGATAAATAACAACCTCCAAAAAAGAGACCCCGGTACGGTACTCGCCTCCCGTGTGACGTGCGCAGTTGAGCTAATCTATAATATGTTGCACTTTTAGACGCATTTCACCGGCGATGTTCCTATTTTTTGAACAGTTAAAACGGGATCGCAACTGCCGCTGTCTCTCTTTTTTTTTTTTTTTTTTTTTGTTGAATCATCTGTTTCCTGGTTTTCACGACAGTTCATGCAAGGCCTCCCCCTGGATTTCAGGTAACTCTGGTACTTACCCCCAAAGAGTCAAGGGCCAGGTACCGAGCGACCCAACCTCTCTTACTCTCTGGTGTAACGCTAGCTACGTATACCACTGACAATATCTTCACCTCTGAGAGCAGAGAGAGGACGATCGCAAGAGACCGAGGAGACAAAAGATACCATGTATTTTTGCACATAGCCTCGCCTTCAGGCCCCCATTCACCATCACCCCAACTGCGTATTCCGGACCCCCGCAATCCACTACTGCAGGAATCTCACTCTAGATATCCCTGTCCTGCCAACCCCGGGTGATGCGTGCAATAAGCTTCTTCCACCAAGGTGTTCTAGAAAGATGGAAGGAAATCGCGGGACGGATGTTTCCGCACCACCACCACCACCACCACCACCACCACCACCGAGAAGGGACGAAGAGACGGGAGGGCGAGAGGGAGGGTATGTAAAAACAGATTGCGGGGAACTGCAGAATTGTGGTTATTTTTCTTTTCTGCCCTCGAGATGCAGATTTACATTACGTGCCGGTTTGTCACATGCGTCAGCGGCCAGCTTGGTTGGAGCCTTCATGCAGCCAGCAGAGAGTATATTTTGGAATGAGGGAGGTGGGGGGGGGGGGGGGGAGGCGGCTGTTGCGGGAGGTAAAAGTGAAAAAGAAAATTCTCCGCGGACGTCGGCCTGCCTGCTTGGTTGGGATGGGTACCGGCATTTTCCCTTTCTTACTTTTAACTTTGGAGATAGAGTTGGGGAGATGGAGATGGTGTTTCTCGCCCGGCGCTGCGTACTGCCTACGGCTACGTTAGCTGGGGGGGGGGCCGGCGCCGGCGCTTTAAGACACAACTGATGCAGTGTCTGCACCAACTGCAGGCAATTTTCCCTAACAGCTTAATAGAAAACTGTTAAAGCCAACGGCCAAAATGGGGAGGAACTCAATATATATAAACGCAAGCAATAACCTATAAAAACCTACAGCTACCCTATTAATGACTGCACTTACAAAGCTACCTGTAGCACGGAGCTTAATTTGGACCGAAACGGCAAAAAAGAAGAAAATAGAAACTTTAGGCCAACGATCAATTTTGAAAAATGCTATTCGCCACCCAGCCAAATAATCCCTGCAACCATCAATTTTGACCAAAATTGATGCTCGGCCTAAAGTTTCTAATACCCCAAGAAGAAGATACAGACCAGCGCTACCCTTTTTTTTCCCCGCGGAACCCGACTACCACAGACTAAACACGGGGGCGAACATGAGAAAGGAAAAGGACCAAAATAGAGCCGCAGTAGGGCCCGGCGGGCTGTCAAGCCACATTGCAGCCACAGCCAACTAACCAACCAGCTAACGCAGGAACTAGAACTTAGCGTTACGGGAGCCGACTCTCGTCCTCGTCCTCGTCCTCTCACTCGGATCCATCAACGCCAGAGACCTCGGCCTCTCACTCGGATCCATCAGCGCCAGAGACCTCGACCTCTCACTCAGACTGATCAACACCAGAGAAATTTACTATGAGGCCGATCGAACAGACAGATGGAACATAAGTCACGTTCAATGCAATGCACCCAGCCAAGCTGATATCAATCGATATTTAACAACGCTCCATGATCTAACTCTCTCTCTCTCTCTCTCTCTCTCCCTCTCTCTCCCGCTTACTCCACATAAAGAAAAAAAGAAAAAAAGGAAAAAGGAAAAAGACACATCAATATATAAAGAACGTAACCAGGGCTCCATCACCTCTCCTATGTAGATCCTCCTGGGTATACAGATCCACAGATTCGTAGCTTGGAGCTCAAGAACAGAAGTAGTGGCAAACATATCAAATTCACCACCCCCCCTTTTCTCCCTTCCCTCTGGCTCTCTCTCGCACCCAAGTACTCCAACTTTGTGCCCATTCCCATGCCTATGCCTATGCCTACGGTAACGTGCGCCCCCCCCCCCGAAATAAAAAGACAGAATTCCCCAATATAAAAAAACGAAAGCGCAAAAAAAAAAAAACCAGATCAGACCCAGCCAGCAGACAGCCCCCCCCCCCCACACTCCCCGACGGCGCACGCACCCACAAAAAAAAAAAAACCCCTTCAAGAACAGAAAAGAAAGAAAAGCAAATGCCAGCCAGCCAATATCCCATCCATTCACTAGAGAGTAGAGTAGAGATCAAGAGAGATCGAGAGATTGAGATATTCAGAGAGAGAGAGAAGAAAAAAAAGCCTATTTTTCACATGAAAATAAAAAGAAAGAAAAAAAAAAAAAAAAAACACCCATGAGAAAAAAAATAGAAAGGAAAGAAATTTAGAAAAAAACGTTTGTTCGCGCCCCCACTCCCCACTCCCAGCCGCCGCCGCCGTCCCCTGTCCCCTATCCCCAGTCCCCAAAAAGACCAAACCACAGCTTATAAATACGAGCAAAAGGGTAGGAAAGTAGTAAAAAAAAAAAAAAAAAAAAAAAAAAGAAAAAGGAAAAAAATCCACAGTCTCCGTCATAACGGGTCGAACAGAAAAGAAATCCATCGTTTTAGCAAAAATAAAAAATACCACAAAAAAAAAGCCGCAAAAAAGACGCCCAGAGTTTTCTAAAACACCCTAAACGCCGCATGTCCCCCACTCGGCCCCGCCGGCGCACTCCCACTCCGTCCCCTCCCCCCAATCCCCGCTCCCGCTCCCGCTCCCGCAGCACCCTCCCTCACCACATCCCCATACGCCGGCGTCGGCGACCTCCGTCCAACATTAACCACGCCCAGCAGTCTCTCCCGATCCCCGACCCTCCTCCTCCCGTCCTCGTCGCTCTCATCGCTGCTATCGCTCGAGCTGTCCTGCGAGCTATAATCCGGCGGCGGGCTCGCGCCGCGCGCCGCCTGCGTCGCCTCAAAGCTGATATTCGCCAACGAGATATCCGTGGGGCTCCTCTGCGGGCCCGGCGACGTCGGCGTGACGGCCGCCGACGACGACGACGTCGTCCCCGGCGCGCCAGACCCCACACGCACATTCGTGTGGAGGGTGCTGCTACTCCTCCCGCGCGCGGGCTGGTGCGCTGCAGCCGCCGCCGCCGACGATGGTGGTGGCGGCGGCGGTGGCGGCGGATGCTCAAAGTAGCCCTGTTGGTGGTGGTGGTGGTGCTGCTGCTGCTGGCCGCGCTGGCCCGTTTCGAGGAGGATGCTGCCCTGCTCGGAGCCGTATGGGGGTGGTGGTGCGAGGGAGCCGGAGGCGGGGGCGAGCCCCCATTTCTTGACGTTTGCTTCGATGAAGACGAAGCCGAGCTGGCCGAAGTTGACGTGGATGGAGGCGGGGCCGTTGGCGCCGATGGTGGGGAAGAGGTTTAGTGATTTGAGGCCGTGGGCGGCGTCGTCGAGCTTTTTGCCGTTGCGCGTGAAGAAGATGGTGCCGGTGCGGGGACGGTAGCCGACGCCGATGACGTCGCCTTGGTGGTAGGGGGGCGCGTATGTGGTGCCGTTGAAGGGCTGGTTGTGGCGGCGGTGGCCGGTAGACGTGTAGGCGATTGAGTGCTTATGCCAGCCTGCGCATGCAACATCCATTCGTTAGTCCAAATCTTTAAATCGCCCAACTCAACCAAAACCCGAGTAAGGCATCGAAATATAAATATGTACGTACCAGGCAGTCTAAACATCGGATACGGCTTCGTGGTCATCCCAATTGACACGAGCGTGCTCTCGGGCTTATCGTAGAGCTTCGCCTCCCAGTAGTAGACCTCGTTCTGCTTCGGCACGGGCAGATTGCTCTGCACGGAGCACACGCTGTCGTAGAACTCAATCTCCGTCCGGGCCTCCACAAAGCAATTCGCAATCTCGAGCTCCGCCTCAAACTCCCACGCCGACACGCCCTTCTCCTGGATCGCCAGGAACTGCGACAGCGATATATCCGTCGGCACCGAGTCGGGCGGGTTTGCCTCTATGAACGCTACAACATCCCCCCACACCCAGTCAGTCCCATTTTTCCCCCCATCCTCAATACGGATATCCGGGCCACAAAAAAACAAAAAAAAGAACAAGCAAAAAAAAAACAACAACATACCCTTCGCCCTAAAATAGTCCTCCCTCGAGATCTCGTCCATCTCCTCGAGCGCATCCGCCTCCTCCCTCGCCAGCGCCTGCTCGTCATCATACTCGCCGGGCCTCCCTATCCGGTCGAGCAGGATGCGCCCGCGCGACGTGTAGCGGAAAAAGTAGATGACGGCAAAGATGGCGGCCACGAGCGCCGCGGAGCCAAACGCCGCGAGCAGCGCGATGAGCACGCCCATGCCCAACGACTTGGGGGTCTCGATGTCGGCCGGGAAGATGATGTCGTCTTTTAGACGGGTGCGGGTTATGACCGTCATGGTGACGGACGGGGGGGGGGGTGGACGGCTCAACGGGTTGAGTGCTGTTGTTGTTGTTGTTGTTGTGGTGGTGGTGGTGGGTGTGAAGTGGTGTGAAGTGGTGGATGGATGGGTGGATGGAGGAGTGCAGGTGTCGGCACCTGGTGGGGACGATGGGACTGGGGTGGTGGTGGTGGTGGTGGTGGTGGTGGGCGTGCTATCTATATATATCCCGTTATACGGGGTGCAGTGCAGTGCAGTACAGCGAGCGTGTAGTATAGGCTATGTATGTTCCTGTATGTAGAATGGGGGAGAGCTCTCTCTATCACTCTCTCGCTCGCTCGGGTAGCCCTGTGGTGTCTCTGTAGACCTCTCGATATCGCCTCTCGCCGTCTTGTGATGATGGTGGTGATGATGGATGGTGGATGGTAGTGGGTGTGGATGGGTGTTATGTGTAGCGGGCGTGGAGGTGGTGTGTTGCTAGCAAGCAGGCAAGCAGGCAAGCAGGCAAGCAAGTAAGGTTGTGTCGGGGGCAGACAGACCCTGAAGATAAGTGGCGGGACCAGAAATCAGGCGAGGATGCAATTATTGGGGAACGGGTGGCTGTATCGATCTTCTTCCAAGCGGCGGGCACTCACGCTTTCTCACCTCTCCACCTCCTCCTCCTCCACTCACACAGCAACTGACAGGGGAGGGGGGTGGGCGTGGGCGTGGTGCAAGATCGGGGTGGGCAGGAAAATAGAAACAGCAAACAGCCGCAATTAATACCGCGCTAGCTAGCTAGAGTAGCTAGGGGGCAGCAGAAGAGAAAAAAAAAAAAGAATAATAGAAAATAAAATATATGCTGTTCTCGACCTGGTCTTTTAGAGCTCGACAACGAGCTCTCTCTCGCAATAGAAAATAAAGGAGTCAGAGTCGGGGGGAGGGTCACTTGCTCGCAGTCTACAGCACTTCAAGCGTAGAGCAGAGAGACAGACAGAGAGCAGAACAGAACAGAACAGAGCCCACGACGCAACACACACAACACACGAGAACGAGCGTATGTAGGCGGAGAAGGAAGCGAGGGGGGGGGGGCAGGCAGCAAGCGGTATCCACAACCACAAAGCCTCCTCCACCACAGACAGAGAGGCCTGCCAAGGAATGGCCCCCGGCCAAGCCCGAGCGAGCAGCAGAAAAGTCGGGGATATCGATAAACTATCATTCATCATCATCATCATACTTACCCCTAGATGATACAGTTTCTGCTCTACAAGTCCCAAACACCCGCCCAACCCAACGGGGTTTCAGGGCCAAAAATAAATCCGCTGCCCTACCCTATATTCAACAGCCACACACCGGCTGGCCTGGCCGACCGTGAGACGGCGCAGCGCGGGCGGGATAGGGTAGGGTAGGGTAGGTTGTAGGGCGAGGATCGGCTCGGATCCGGGGGGGGGGGGTTGTTTACGCCTCACGTTTTTTTGAAATCGGATCTCACGCAATGGCAATGGGGAGGGAGGGGGGTTTCCAGTGCTGTGTACCATGTGGGGGGTATTGACATGGTCAATTCGTGCGAGGCTGCTTTTTACCCTGGTACTACCGTGGTGTATGTACCTAGCAAGCAAGCAAGCAAGCAAGCAAGACTACGGCTACGGCGCTTCGAACGAAGCTGGAGCGGAGCGGAGGGAGGTGGGTTCAAACCAGACCAGGACCATACAATTGCCCGTAAGTTGCTTGTCTACAATCTGGCAGAAAGAAAGAAGCCAATCTGGCGCTAGCTGTTGCAGTATCGCAATTGCAATTCTTCAATGGCACTCTACCCGCCGAGTTGGAGTCTGGGTACCTCTCCCCAACTCGTCAGAGTAGAGTATGTGCCTGTCTGTACCTGTACCTGGAGGTACTGGGCTCTATCTACTTTGCGTAGACGCCCCAATGATAAGGCCAGGGACTGGGATCCGGATGCTAAAAATTCCCCCTGCTACCCTAGGACGGCGGCCCCGGGGGGGTTGGGGGGGGTGACACTCTAACTCTGGTGATTTCAGCCCTTTGGTTCGGTTGTGAACTGGGTGTGCCTGTAGAGCAGGAAGTCTAGATATGGATGTTCTACCTCTGCATACATGTACTCTACCTACTCTACACGAAAAAGAAAGATGTTCTACCATAGCTAGCAAACACAAACACGCACCTGACAGACAAGACAGACAAGAACGGGTACTGTGCGACACGAGCAGCCTTTAATTTGGCGATCAATGATGCAAGCCCCAATAAAACTACATGCAATACACCGCCGTGTGCTACTACAATAAGACAAGAGAGACAGCTTCAGGGGCTACCTACAACCTGCACTTTGCACAGGCACGAGCATTTGCCCTTTTTAGGAAGAGTAGTATATACCAGCTGCTAGTAGTTGTACGCGCATGTAGTAGATAGTAGAGAACGGGCTTCATCAAACGGCGGAGAGATATGCGGAGGGGCAATTTCGGAGGGATCTCTCAGAGGGGCAGCGGCTAGCTGGCTGGCTGGCTGGCTGGCTGGCTGGGTCTCTTCTCTGCTGCACTCCCGACTGCTCTTCTCGGCACCGCACCGCACTGGGACTCGTTCTCTGCTTTACTCTTCCTGCTGCAGATTGTTTGCCCGACCGCTCCGATGATCCCCGCCCGGGATGGAGGCTAAGCGGGCTTGGCAGCAACACGCAGCCCTGGCAGACGCGTCTCCCACGAAGGGCCAGAGACGCGCTGCTCGGAGCAACCGCGTCTCGAGCAGTTCTCTGCCTCTGCCTGACCTCATCTCCCCTCCCTGATATCACTATCTCCCCCCCATTCTCTCCCCCCCTCCCTTCACCCCTCCTCCCTTCACCCCTTCCCCCCCCCTCCCCTCCAATCACTCCCCTCCAATCACCCCCCTCCAATCACCCCCCCCCCTCCCCGGGTACAGAAATGTACTCCAAGAAGTTCGTCCCCCCCCTCCTGCGCAAGCCCACCGCCGCCCCCGAGGACGCCGACGAGCCCCCCAACAAGAAAGCCCGCCTCTCCAGCTCCAGCTCCGCGCTCACCATCTCCACCGCGCACACGCCGCAGCGCGTCGCCCAAACACTCAAGCTCTCTTCGGCCTCCAACACCGCGCGCAAGCCCCTCCTCCTCGTGCGCAACCCCGTCTCGCCGCCCGCCACCGCCACCGACGACGACGACGACGACGACGACAATGCCACCACCACCACCACCACCACAGACCGCTACTACAACGTCCTGTGGCGCAAAAAGACAACAAAGAAGCACAAGACCTTCGACGGCGACGGCATCCTCGCCCTCAGCGGCGGCTACGCCACCCTGCAGGACAGCAGCGGCAAGGACCTCGGCCGCACAATGATGCGCGCGGCCCCGGGTCTCGGAGACCTGGTTTCGCTCGGCGGCAAGGACGTCGAGATCGACTCGGTGCTCTCGCGCGCAGACTACCTCTCCGGCCGCCCGTTCCTGAAGGCCGCACCCGTGAAGGAGGAGAGCGCGGCGTCGTTCCAAGCAGTGTCCGCGGCGGGCTTCTTCGGGAGCAAGTTCAAGACGCCGCTGCTCGGCAGCACGGCGGTGGGCAACTCACACGCCAAGGTGCCGACGCCGCGGCACGACCCCACCGCCGAGGGCGCACTGGTGATGCCGCGTCCCTCCGGCGGGGGCAAGAACATCGTCGACGTCGTCGTCGACCCGTTCGTGAGCGCTCACCTACGGCCGCACCAGCGCGAGGGCGTGCAGTTCCTCTACGAGGCCGTGATGGGGCACAAGGCGTTCGACGGGCAGGGCGCCATCCTGGCCGACGAGATGGGGCTCGGCAAGACGCTGCAGACCATCGCGCTGCTGTGGACGCTGCTGAAGCAGAACCCCGTGTTCGGGGCGGGCGGGCCCGTGGTGCGCAAGGCGCTCATCGTGTGCCCCGTCACGCTCATCAACAACTGGCGCAAGGAGTTCAACAAGTGGCTGGGCCGCGAGCGACTCGGCGTCTTTGTGGCGGATAGTAAGGCTACCATCCGCGACTTTACGCACGGGCGGGTGTACAGCGTCATGATTGTGGGGTACGAGCGGCTGCAGAAGGTGCAGGGCGAGCTGCGCGGCGTGGACATCGACATTGTCATCGCGGACGAGGGCCACAGGCTCAAGACGGAGAGGAATAAGAGTGCGGCCGCCATCAGGGGGCTGAACACGAAGCGGCGGGTGATACTCAGTGGCACGCCGCTGCAGAATGATCTGCATGAGTTTTATATCATGGTGGACTTTGTGAACCCGGGCCTGCTGGAGAGCTATCAGACGTTCCGCAAGGAGTTTGAGAACCCGATTGTGAAGAGCCGGCAGCCGGGGGCGTCGAGGAAGGATGTGGAGAAAGGCAAGGCGCGGGGTGATGAGGTTAGTTTTTTTTGTTGTTGCGATCATTGATATGCGTCTTTTAGCTACCCTTGCAATCATTGGCCACCTACTAACACTTACACAGCTCGCGCGCATCACCAAACTCTTCGTCCTCCGCCGCACCGCCGAGATCCTGTCCTCCTACCTGCCCCCCAAGACCGAATACATCGTCTTCTGCCGCCCCACGCCCAAGCAGCTCAAAGTCTACACCACCATCCTCTCCTCGCCACACATCGAGTCGTGCTACCGCTCCCCCGACACCTCCCTCCTCCTCATCACCCTCCTCAAAAAGCTGTGCAACTCCCCCGGGCTCCTCGCCCCCAAACCCTCCCCCCACCCCCCGCACCACCCCACAACCCAGGCCCTCCTCGCAGCAGTGCACCCAAAGCTCCTCGAATCCCACTCCTCCTCCCACTCCGGAAAGTTCCGCGTCCTCGACCGCCTCCTCCTCACCCTCTACCGCACAACAACGGAAAAGGTCGTCGTCATCTCAAACTACACCTCCACCCTCGACCTGCTCTCCACGCTCCTCTCCTCGCGCGGCCTCACACACACCCGCCTCGACGGCGCCACCCCGCAGTCCCGCCGCCAGGACATCATCGACGCCTTCAACCGCACCGACCACCGCAGCAGCTTCGCGCTCCTCCTCTCCGCCAAGTCCGGCGGCGCCGGCATCAACCTGGTCGGCGCGTCGCGGCTGGTGCTCTTCGACCTCGACTGGAACCCGGCCACGGACGCGCAGGCGATGGCGCGCGTGCACCGCGACGGGCAGACGCGGCCCGTCGTCATCTACCGCCTCGTCACGACGGGCTGCGTCGAGGAGAAGATACTGCAGCGGCAGGTGGCCAAGACGGGGCTGGCGGAGAGCGTCGTGGATATGAAGAGTGGCGTGGGCAGCTTTACGAGCGAGGAGTTGAGGGACCTGTTTTCGGTGAGGGAGACGGAGTGTGCGACGCATGAGCTGCTGGGGTGTGGCTGTGGCGGGAGGGGGTATGTGGCGGGGCCGCCGAGCCCCGAGGGGGAGGGGGAGGGGAGTGGTGGTGAGGAGGAGGAGGAGGAGGAGGAGGTAAAGTATCCGGGATTGATGAAGGCCAGCGAGGTCGACATCGAGAAGATTGAGCGCGAGCGCCTGGCGGCGATGAAGAAGGCGCCGAAGGGGGCGCAGCTGGGCGCGCTGATGGAGTACTCGCACGTGTTGGCGAGCCGGCTTGTCCGCGCCAAACCTGCCAAAACCGAGAAGGCCGCGGACGACGACGACGAGGAGGAGGAGGAGTACGACGAGGTGAGTATTGAGGACGAGCTGCTGACGCAGGTGGTGCGCGACGGCATGGGGAAGGAGGTTAGTTTTATCTTCCAAAAGACGTTTTAGAACATAGATGACTATATCGCTACTCCTTGCTGGTTTTTTTTCATTGCAATTTTTTTTTTTATTGCAAATTTTTTATTGCTGTTGCTGGTGTTTTTATTATATCATTGCTGGTTCTCATCATCATTATTATCGTTGTCGCTGTCGCTGCTGCATCATAGACCAGTTCCGTTGCTTATCACTAGGGCGTTGAGGGTTGAGTTTGGGGGTAATGATCGCTAGAGCACCTTTTTTTTCCACTAGCTAGTAGCTAGCGCTTGTTTTATTGGGTGCGCCCGAATCTACGTAGCTTGGCTTTTTTATTATCCACGAGCCCCCCCCCCCGCCCGCCCCTTCCGCAGTCCGGCCCAAGTCATGCTTTTTTTTGTTTGTTTTGATGTGACGCAGGCAAGCAAGCAAGCGATTTATTTTATTTTACCTGGGACGCTGCGTTCGCCCGTGGTGGGCAGCGTTCTTTGTCTGTGAGCCAAATTAAACCGTCCACCCCCCCACCACACCCCACCACACACAGCTCATCCCACCATCCAGAACAACCACCACCACTTCTCAACATCACCACTGGTACTTTTGTTATCCGCTGTGCCATCTACAGTTACACGACTGTTATCGACATGGCGAAGTGCTTCTATGAGCTGCCAGAGCCGGTGGCTGCCACGGTGATGGAGGTTGATGGGATTATATGTATTACCTCCCTCCCTCCCTCCCCCAGCCGTCCATCCTCTTGCTATCTATCTACATGTAAATATACTAACCACCCCGCAGTAACCCCCACCGACGCCCTCCCCCCCACGCACGCCACCTCCCCCACCCTCATCACCCTCCCCGCACACAACCCGCGCCCCGCCCAACGCGCCAGCCGCCTCCTCGCCCCCTCCGACGACCCCCCGCCGCCAAAGGGGCTCTGGCAAACCCTCTACCACACCTTCAACTACCTCCCGGCCCTGCAGCGCCTGTACTCGACGCCGACCGACCTCCTCGTCAAGCACCTCCTCTCCGGCACCAGCCCGCACACCGACAAGCTCCTCGGAACCCCGCCGCCCCGGCGCTGGAACACATCCCGCAGCGGCCTCGAGAAGACGGAGCATATCGCCTTCCACCCGCGCCTGCCGCTGCTCGCCCTGTCGTCGACGTGGGCGCGCATCCACATCTATGACCTGCGCACGGGCGCCTTTGCGCCGTACTTCCTGTGTGCCGCGGATACGCCGGCGGCCGTTACCATCACCAGTCTTGCGTGGAATGGAGTTAACCAGCTTGCGGTCGGGATGGATAGCGGCTGTGTGGATGTATGGAATGTCGACCTGTCCATTGAGAATGCGGACGAGTGGGTGGAGGAGAGCCTGCTGAAGAGGAAGGCGAGGAGGCCCGGCCCGCTGTTTGGACTGACGCCGACACCGATGCGGAGGCGCGCACAGAACTTGGCGGCATTCCGGGGGCAAGCATTCTTTGAGACGAAGCCGTCGCCTAGGACCGCAGAAATCCTATCCGGGATTGATATCGACGGGTTCTCCTCGTCGTCGTGGTCGCCGGCGCCTTCTGAAGACGGTGGCGGCGGCGGTGGGTCGCAGAGAGCACGAGTGGAGCGCATCCGCCTGCTCCCACAGCATGCCCACCAGCCTGCATTCGTGGGGATAATCACACACGTCGCCTTCTCCCCGAACGGGAAGCACCTGGCACTCGGGACATCGATGGCCGGCGTCTGGCTGCACAACATCACTCTCGAGACCTCCTTCCGTGCCTATCCCGCCATTGCGATACCCTCCTCCGCCGCTCACTGCACTGCACTTGCCTGGAGTGCCAACGCCGCAAGCATCGTCGCTGCGTTCGCAGGCGGCCTTGTTGTTGTCCTGCCAGTGCGCGAGAACGGCGCCGGGAGTGTCACAGTAGGTGCCGCTGTGCGGTTCTACCCGCATGTGCTGCTCGGGGTTAGGCTTGGCCGTGGAGTGGGATCGGTTTTGATTGTGCCTGGAGCGGCGTTTCCGACGGTTGTGGTGGCGCTGAAGCGCCGGCCGGGAGTCCATGTCTTTCGGCTTGTGCCCGAGTCGGTCCTGAGGGCGACTGTCCGGGCTGCAAGAGCGGGCTTGGGCGGGCACGGTGGTGAGATTGTCGGGCTTACACGGAGAATCTATAACTTTGCGATCCAAGCCGCAGCACAGCTATTATTCGGTGACAACGGTGGTGAGACTATCACCATCGTCCATGTTGGCAGTCTCGAGACCGAATGGACACCATACGCCCCTACCACTAACGCTACCTCCTCCAATGCGCGGAAGCCCGCTACTCTCGACGACAATGATCCCGAAGCCGCGATTTCCGGCTACGGCGGTGCAGTACAGCACATGGCGCTCGATCCCAGCGGCCAGCGCCTCATAGTCGTCTTCTCCGGCGGGCCCGACACCCACCGGTCCGTCGTCTGGTTTGACGCCAGCAGCATCACTGCGTCCGCGGCGGCCATAGGGGCCCTCGGCGTGCTCAAGATGGAGCGGGTGGGAGAGGTCGGATTTGCGGCGGGCGGTGGGGAGAGTGTTTGTGCTGGTATTGTTGTGAACGGTGGCAGGAACATTGCGTTTTTCAGGGGCGTGGGGAGTGAAAATGCCTAACTAGCTTTTTTTTCCTTTCTTTTTCTCTTCCTTTTATTTACTATGGTCTTACTTTTAGGTATTGATACCCCTAGATGGTGATAAGTAGCATTAATAGTCCGTTGTTGGGAATTGGTGATTTGAGAGTTGGGTTTCTGTCTGTCTGGAGTGGGCTCAGTGCTTGTTCGTGGAGGTCCAATTACGAAGAATAAATAACTGAATTGATAATTCTTAAAGAGAAGATCAGTAGCCCTTTTCAACGAGAAGAGCGCAGAGCGAGAGCAGCGAAGTGTTGGTGAGATTCCCGTGGGAAAATGGCTTGATCAAATGGATTGACCTACTCATTACATACATGGGTGCAAGAGAGAAAAGGCCTTCCTTCTGAGTCTCAATCCCTTTACAGAGCGGCCAATAAACCAGGAGGACAACATTTAAGGTAATCGCGATGCCACGTCTTCAGCTCCACTAGTTCCCAAAGACTGATATTCTAAAAGTGCGCTAAATAAACAAAAAAGAACTGTTTTCCGGTCCGAGTGATAGCCCATGACCCGACACACAACTGACTGTCCCATGCAAATATTGACACTATTATACTACACAATAAGCATCGCACACACACCACTACTTCTTCACCACCAACTTCTCCGCACACTCCTTGATCCACTTCACCGTCCCTTCCTCCTTCAGATACGCCGCCGTCTCCTTCCGCATCACCGGCAGCTTCTTCCACTCGTCCAGCCCAATGCTGCCAATACTCCCCACCACATTAAACCTGTAATAGTTCTCCCTAAACTTTCTATTATTCTCATCCGTCAGAATCTCCAAATGCTTCGCCTCCGTATCCGTCGCGAGCCCCAGCAGCGTCCAGCCCACCATGCCGTACCCGCCCGTGATCCACTTTGCAAACCTCTTCAGGGGCCCGCGCTCGCCCGTGGCCTGGTCAATGCGCCCCGTGCCGATCGAGACGACGCAGCGCGGCGTCGGCGAGTTGAGCCCGTCCTCGAGCTCGTCCTTGACGCGGAAGATCGGGTTGTTGCTCGTGAGCCCGCCGTCAAAGTACTCCTCGCCGGCGATGGTCATGACGGGGAAGTAGAGGGGCGCGGCGGAGGTGGCGCGCGCGGCTTCCCAGATGGCGCAGGCGTCGGTGCGGCCGGTGGAGTTGGGGTAGCTGCGGAAGCGGACGGTGACATTTGTGGCTTTGCGGACGGAGACGACGAAGCTAGGTATGCATCAATCAGTACATAACCAACTATACACCCCCCCCCCCCCAAACAGATCAACCACCCGGCACTCACGTTTTGCAAACCTCCCTGTTCGTATCCAGTAGCCCCGCAGCCTCCAGCGGCGTCCCTTTCCTCTTGAGGGCTTCCATCTCCTCCGCTGATACGTTCCTAGCCACCACCTCCTTAACGGCCTCCGCCAGCTCTTCTCCGCTGAACCATGCGTTGCCCGCCCACGCGTCCCACACCATCTTCCCTGGGATTTGCTGCCAGATACTGGTTTTAAAGATGTCCTGCGATAGCTCTTCATACTGCACGATGCAGCTGTCCACGTCCATGCGCTGTGCCAGATGCGTTAGCAAACACCCAGTATGCGGAGAGGGGAGGGGAGGGGTGGCTTACGAGGCGGCCGAGCATGATTGCTATCAAGCTATAGTAGAGGCGCTGTGTCAGATAGTTTAGTTTGCGCAGAGAATGTTGGGAAGAACATACCCTCCGGTGCTGGTACCGGCGATAACGTCAAAGTAGTCGCATGGCTTGGGGATATAGTCAAGTTTGGCCTGGGCCTGGATCTCCTGCATCAGCTGCTTGAGGATGAGGAGACTTGAGTAGCCGCGGACACCACCGCCGTCTGTACGAGTGTTATTATAACTATAGGCACAACCACTTGTTTCCGGAGGAAGCGCCTACCTAGAGAGAGTACACGGAGAGATGTGTTTTCTGCCATTTTGGAGTGGGACGATAGGTTGAAATGAGAAATATGGTACTATGGTATGGGTATGTCTTGAATACTGGCACAGATGTCGCGGTCCCCCAGCGTCCTTTGGAGAATAGGAAAAAATACAACACGTACTCGTACTATGGATATATTATATAGTACCTACTCCTACGGAGAGAGTGCCAGAATCCATTTTCGAGTCATCCTTCAGCTTCCCTAGCTAGCTAGGTAGCTACTACATCATCCCCAATCCTGATACAACATACGAAATCAGCACAGCCGATCAGGTGCCAATCAACCAGAAAGCCTCGAAAAGAAGCTTTGAAACTTCCAGATTGGTCGAGTCCTTACTTACTTTTGCACTTAATTGCTTTATATAACACGGCCCCGCTATGCAAAGCGAGCGAAGCAAAGCGCCTCAAATACCCAGCCAGTCAAGTCAGCCTCTGTATCCCTTTTTCTCATCAGAAAAAAATAAAATAAGGGCTTTGTGCAACGCTGCGTTTCGCGGTACCTACATGTCCAGCCAATGACCATCACAGATCTGCGAAGAGGGTCTTGACCAAATTGCTTTTTATCAGCCCTAGGCTAACCAGCTAGGCATTGCCCCTCCCTTTGTTTCTTCCCCTTCATGTTTCCTGAATTAATAGGACGGACGGGTCATGATTCAATCCCTCAGCCCGCGCCCCTCAGTTCACTCTCCAGCAAGGAATAAACCGTGTAGGGAGATGAGATGAAGCTGTCAGCTGGTTTCTCTGTGGTCGCATCTCGTGAGCCTATGCTTCATGAGCAAACATCTAAACATCCCTGTGCCTGGACAAGGATTTACCGAATTCGAGAGGAGCCTTGTACCGGCGGGAGTAAAGCAGAAGAAGGTCCAAAAGATTTTTTTGAGTGGCTGTATGTATGTGTTCAGTTACTACGAAAAAATGATATAAGACGAGTCATTTGCAACAAATAAAAAGCAAGGATAAATACTGGGGAAGATGCCCAAAAAAATATCGGAAACCGATGCAACTGAACCCTAACCCTGGTTACTGGTTTTGAAGCAGAATAAGAGACATGCAAGCCAACCAACCTGGTATTTTGTGACGTCTTCCAAGCTGCTACACTGCTTGTAATGATTCCGCGTCTTTTCTGGCCTCAAGGTACTACATACTTGTGTCGAGCGGTTTACGGGCTCCTCCTCCGCGAATATAAGACATGGCTGTATATAGTGACCGGCCTCCTAAATCGTTACTCGATGACAAGATCCGATCGCAGATTGTTGGAGAGATATTTGCGTAGGCAGACATCAACGGGACATGGCAGCTAGCTACATAACCCGACCTCGATCTTACAACGATATTCGTCTGCCTGAAATATATATGTCAGTACCCTAAGTTGCAGCTCAAGCTCAAGACACTTGACTGCAATAAATTATAAGAGTGCAGGTATACGTAACTGTTATATGAAGAGTTCTTATGCACACCAATCAATTTCTCGGCATCAAATCTTCCAGTGTGTGGTGTGATACATACTCCACAATATCTAGCAGGGTACTGTGAGTGTGATAAGAACAGGTGTGTAGAACAGCCGGGTCACGTGATTGGGAACTAACAGGTCCAGCCATTTAACGGTTAGATACGGAAAATGTTGGGGCTCATACTATCGATAGCAAGATGATCATGCGCTTCATGCTAAAACTAGTCGCGCAAGACAGTAGGCAGAGCTATTTCGAATAAAAATTACCCCTGCATTTTATGATCCTGACCGGCAATAGTACAACTCTAGATCGAAGTCTCTAGGAACTTTCTCTTAAATGTGGTAGGGTTCTTTTTGGTATTGGCGCTCTTGAAGCAGCAATGGATTGTGGTGCTATACATGAGACTTAGCTCGCTCATTCTGAGCGGCGTACAATTGCAATTTCTATATGAAGAATGGTGAGTAATTATTGAAACAGAGTTATATAAATGGAAACTTTTGGGACATACTCATATATTTTCCCTTACGTAGTTTTACCCTATCACTGCCTATTATGCTTGTGCGGTAAATTATAAAGCTTAGAAGGTGCCGAGTGATAAGCTGTGAGTACGAGCGGTACCCATTTTGATAGGTACATGCCACGCTGACACGAACAGATGGGCGACCAGTTTTATCCAGGGATTATAGTGCCCTTTATCTGGCCTATCGGGGAAATTCTCGTTGGAAGCATCCTTCCCGCATGCCATTGCTACTAGTCAGAAATGTGTGACGGTTTGCTGTTTGGGGTGCTGTACCGCGTTACCGATGGGTTATAAAGCCAACCGTGAAAGAGATGCGAAATAAACTAATAATCGGTTCTCACGTAGATAATACGATCAGATTACGTGTTAATCCCCACGATCGAATATATATTCCTTTCATGAGGTGACATCCGTGCCAAGACTCCATCTCATTGGCCCTTTCAACGACCAGGCCCGGACTAGCGAGAACAGCGGCGTGTCAACTTTATAAGGCATGGTCGAAGGAAACAAGCACATCGTTTGAACCAAAGAAAAGAAAAAAAAAAAAGGTTGTTTGCAACGTGTCAGTCGATCTCCCCTGCCAACGCCGTCTCCAGAACTGCATCGCGTCAAGTGTAAAGCCAATATAAACAATTAATTGAGTACATGTACTAGCTTAAGTACTAAGACCAATCTAATTAGCATGGTAAGTTAAAGTAATCAGTAAGGATAGACGATATATATGCATGTATGCTCTCTTGCTTGGTTCAATTTTTAGATGCAGTATGAAGCGTTACAAAGCGCGGTATGGCCATGCCATGGGCGCAGAAGACAACGCTGTAGTTTAGATGTGTTATAAGCGGCCAGATTTGAAATTCCAAGATGAAGCAAGTGAAGATTACTCCTGGCCAGGTTTTGTCTAACAACGGTCATACTAGGGAAATAAGAGAGAGATGGTAAGGAAGGTTAGAGAACGCCAGAGAGAGGGCCACTGCTGAGCTAGAGAGAGAGGTCGGGGTTTATGCATGCCTAATGACGATCGATCTGCTAGATGATCGATGGATATATTGTATTAAGTTTAAATTTAGCGATAGCGTAGCCGCGTGTATTTGTCGTATGTGTCCATTTCTTGAGGGACAGATTGTCCCTTAGATGGGACTACAAAGGTAACGTTCGTTTTACACATAGCAACACAGCAGCGGCTACATGTTGATTGAGCAAGAATGTAGTCCATGTCTTCAGGCGTGGGTCCGGGGCCGGACCCAGGATAACGTTATAACGCGTAGTATACTACGGATCGCCCTAGTGATGGGTACATGTATGTACATCACGCACAGTTGAGTACAACAAAATATGACGCTTAGTAGGAATATCATCATGATAATAGACGAGGGGAGCGGGTTTGAAACCTATCCTACCCCATTAACTCATCTCCTTGGTGAAGAAATTTACTTCTGAAACCTATGGCTTTCATGATTTTAACCCCACGGATCGAACTTAAAAGTATGGAGCCAGTACTGTGTGAGCTCCGGTGACAGAGTATATACATTTATCATGACTGACACTTACTTATGTAGTATTATCAGTACATGACAATTACAATCGAAATTTATTATAATTAGAAGTCAGCAACTTTCCTTTGCTCCTAAGCCCAACTTTGAGGACTACATGTTATATAATGCCCTGTATATATACATCAAATTTCCAACACCTGGACACGTGACGTCTAAAATCTTGAATCCGAAATTTGAACAGAATCACTGTACTAGCAACGTCTCTTAGAATATGGGTCACATGGGGTTGAGGAGGTAGTGGTGAGAGTGAAGGTTGTAATTCCATTGATTTCACTATATACATGTATATATATATCACTTACGCCTGATGTGAACTCCACGTGATTAAGATGTAGCCACATGTAGTAGTCGACGTCCTAGCCACTGATTAATCATCAATTAGCTATAGATTTAGTTGTGATATATATATTGCACATGTGAGGACTCAGTCTATAAGGTAATTAAACTACATGTACATTGCCTGCGTACATATGATACATACATACATGTACATGCATGTACTCAAGTACGGATTCCATTAATTCACCACGCACCAAGTTGCATGACCCCCTCGTGATTAGAATAGGCCGTACTTAGCTGACCAAGTTAACTACATGTATGTGTTCGGCCTTAGGCGTTTTCCACGTATATATCTAAGATAAAATTAAAGTAAACCCCCATCTCAAATCGACTCTTCTTTCTCATCTATTGCCTAGTTTCAGCTTTTGTAGGGTCTCCAGAGGAACATACACATATTATCAGTGCAGAATTCCCTAAAAAAACATATAACCGGTCCCTGTTGGTATCAGCTTGCAACTTGAATATGTACATATGTCTCTAACCCGTAGGTACTTTACGACTACGTACATGTAATCCAATGATTTCTAGGTGGTTTATACTCTCTGTATCAGTGGACAACTGTAAGTGTAGGTAGATATGATCACGATCATAACGGGTATGTTTGCCTTAAATATATCGATCCAATAAGCTATAATATCTGCCGTATGCTGATCAGAAGTTCCTAGCCATCTTTATAATTGGCTATTGCCATCATATCTCCTAGTATATGAGGTATCTGACACCATACAGGTTCATATGAAGCCAGTATGATTTGGGTTTATCCCCATACGATGTGAATGACTTCATGCATATTTGCGTGCATGGACCGTTAGGTTAGTAGCGTCTTTTTGGGTGGGGATCATCTGCTCGCCCAGGATGCCACCAGAATAACATACCAATAGGAAAGGCCATGTTTCTCTTGAAATCATTAAAACGATGCATTCCAATAGAATTCTCCAAGAATTTCATTCGAGACCAGTAAGGGCAGTTCTTTATGTAGGTACAGGACAATGTCTCAAGTTGGGTGAACGATAGGTTAATAGAAGTTCGTGTGCCGAAATCTAGGATTTAAAGAGCATACTGAATTTCTTATTGGAGTGCCACAGCCCAATCGTGAGAGTATATAGCTCAAGAGCTGTGTTATGCATGCATATCTATGAGCTTCAAATTAAAGTACGTACTGTAAGGAAAAATGAGCCTAGCGAGAATGCAGGACCTATAATATATATCTACTCTACATGTACTTAGGTCGAGTGTAGGTACTCTAGGTACTCAATGATACATGTAGGTACTGCTCATGCTTTGCTTACATGTACTCTACGCTATACATGTAGGTACTTACAGACATGCGTGGTACAGCGTGTGGTAAAATTATTGTAGAAGTATGGGAAGAGTCCTATTGGCCGAGTCAGCCACTTAAACCCTGTTTTTACACCCCGGTTTCTACCTCTCGCTGTACTCTAGTGCTGAATGATCGACATTTCCATCCTGCCCGGAAGTATATCCCCACGTATCAAAGAACAACATTAAGGGGAGGATTATCAATGTATGTATGTACCTACATAATATCGATCTACGATACCTACATGCACTTGTATGTATGTAGGTACATGTACCTATCCCACCCTTTTTGTGGGGGCAAAAGGTGTGGCTTTGTTTGGTTTCCCCTATCAATCATTGGATCTGAATCAATCTCTCATTACTTGGATTTACTATTCGAGTTTTTTTGGCTTCGTGGAGAGGATACATAATACACCATTCCAAATCACTGGATATATAAATGCACCATACATGTAGATACATGTACATATGTAGTTGGAGAAGAATCTGCGATTCGTTCTCACCATCAAAGAATCTACCAGAATTCCTGCATAGACGAGGTATCTCTAGATAAGAGACCTGTGCTACTATCGATAGACTCCATGGAGCCATAGGAGATGTTGAGATATGGCTGTAGGTGTTATAAGTTGATGTTGTATTGTACATACTCTAGGTAATATCGTAGGCATGATATCACGCGTTGGGTCGGGGTACGAGGCTGAAAACTGACAGGTTTGGCCCAAGCGCGACGACGGGAAATAAACAGAGAGACTAAACTATACTTGGTCTAGCAGCTGTAGCCGCCCATACCTAGTCTAGTCAAGATTCATGACAAACCTAACCCTTAGCGTGTGGGCACAAGCACCGAGGGGCTGCCCCTCCTTCCTGCTTGCCAACCTTTTGCTGGCGTGCTGTTTCCTCTCTGACGACCCGCACTTTGCCTGTGAGGACTGATTTTGCCTGTGATTGGGCGTGTGTCTCCGCGTGTTTTCCCCCACCTCTCTGCAAAATGTAGGTACTTGTTCTTCCATCACTTGCCCAACCTGCTGTCCCACTCCATCTCCATGCCAGTAGAGTACATATGACCAGCACAAGCTAACTGCAGATTTCGCTGGGGTTTTTTTTGTTATTGCAGCGAGGTGGTGCTCTCTGGAACAAACCTTCTGTGGCCAATAAAAAAAATATAAAACGAAACAGTTAGGTATGTAGGATAGCACCCACGAAAAGAGGAGGAAAGATATAAAGGATTAAAAGAGAAGGGGAGTCAAGCTAAAGGGAAGAGGAGAGAGAGAAAAAAAAATATTTTTTTAAAAAAAATACAATCAGTAGAACTACTGCTCTATCTCTCTCTCACACTTCTCTATGCTTAGCATTTACTAGCATTTACCCCTCCACGCTCCACCTCTCACCCCCCACACGTTCATACATACACATACTCCCCCCTTCTTTCTTTCTTTCACCCTTCTCTTTTATCCCACCTCGGTTGCCAGCTCCTTCTTTCTATTAAATCTAATTTCTTCCTAGCGAGTTCACCCGTTGCGCTGTCCTTCAACGCAGGGGTATTGTTTTCTTCCTAGTGAGCGAGGCTCTCTTAACATTGGAGGTTTGTGGCACCCTCAAATACCCCCCAAAAAGCACCCAAGACGAAATTCAAGGCAGGAAAAAGAAAGAAGTAAAAAAGAAGCCCCGCTAGATTTCTTTGGCTTTCGACCAACTCCTTACCAAGGTTTCCCCATAATTATCGCTAACTTGCACAAAGGTAGAGTTTTTGACCCTGCTCGGGAAATTCCACTTGGAGATCCTGTCTAGCGCCGTCGGCCCCTCCTCTTCTTCCACCAGGCCTATTCTCTTCCAACTCCGTCCTTCTACCATCATTTAATCTTCAGTCATTCCCTCAAAACTCAAGATCTCCCATTAATCTGAACGGAAAAATGGCGTGGCAACCTCAAGAAGGCCCTATACTGGAGTTGGCCGGCTATCTTAAAGATAGTTTGGGCAATTCTTATGATTCTAATGCCCAGAAACGTGCTACGG